AAATGATCAAAGAACTGGATCCAGTCGGTGGAAAAAAGATAAGATAAGGAAAGAGAAGAGAGAAAGAGAGAGAAATGCGAGAGGTGAGAGAATAAAGGGGAAAGAAAAAGAGAGAGAAAGAACGGGAGAGAGAGAGAGAGAGAGAGAGAGAGAGAGGGTAGAGAACGAGAAGAGAAGAGAGAGAGAGAGAGAGAGAGAGAGAGAGAGAGAGAGAGAGAGAGAGAGAGAGAGAGAGAGAGAGAGAGAGATGAAACCTTCAGGTGTTTTTTTTTTGGGCCCACAGAAAGTAGAAGAGAAGAGAAGAGCAATGAAGAGACATATCGAGAAAAGAAGAGAAGAAAGAGAGAGAAAATATAACAATGAGACCCCCAAAGAAACCGACATAGCGAGAGCGAACGACCGAGAGAACATCCGCGATAAAAAAGAAGAAATAGGAAAAAACCCGAGACCGTTGAATAGACAGAACGGAAAAAAACGAGGAGTGAGGACCACGGAGGAGGAGGAGGAGGAGGAGGAGGAGGAGGAGGAGGAGGAGGAGGAGGAGGTGGAGGAGGAGGAGGAGGAGGAGGTGGAGGAAAACGAGGAGTGAGGACCACGGAGGAGGAGAAGGAGGAGGAGGAGGAGGAGGAAAAGGAGGAGTAGGAGGAGGAAGAGGAGTAGAGAGATGAGGAAGAGGAGGGAGAGGAGGAGGAGGAGGGGGAGGAAGAGGAGCAGGAAGAGGAGCAGAGAGATGAGGAAGAGGAGGGAGAGGAGGAGGAGGAGGGGAAGGAGGAGGAGCAGGGAGAGGAGGAGGAGGTGGAAGTGGAGGAGGAGGAGGAGGAGGAGGAGGAGGAGGAGGAGGAGGAGGAAGAAAAAGAGGAGGAGGAGGAGGAGGAGGAGGAGAAGGAGGAGGAGGAGGAGAAGGAGGAGGAGGAGAAGGAGGAGGAGGAGAAGGAGGAGGAGGGAGAGGAGGAGGAGGAGGGAGAGGAGGAGGAGGGAGAGGCGGAAGAGGGGGAGGAGGAGAAGCGAGGACCACGAAGGAGGAGGAGGCAGGCATCCCCACGCCCTGGGAAGGAGGAGGAAGAGGAGAAGAAGAAAAAGGAGGAGGAGGAGGAGGAGAAGCGGGCGAGGAAGCGACGACCCGTGACAGGCTGGGCGTCGTCGGGCAGTCCAGTGACCAGGTCATCACCGTTATAGGTTTCCCCGGTTCAGGTCCTTGCAGGACTCTATCTCTTTGCGTTGCAATCCCAAAAAAACACCTGAAGGTTTCATTTCTCTCTCTCTCTCTCTCTCTCTCTCTCTCTCTCTCTCTCTCTCTCTCTCTCTCTCTCTCTCTCTCTCTCTCTCTCTCTCTTTCTCTCTCTCTCTCTTTGTTTCTGTCTCTCACTCTTTCTGTTTCTGTCTCTATCTCTCTCTCTTTCTGTTTTTGTTTCTGTCTCTCTCTGTCTCTGCCTCTGTCTTTGTTTGTTTCTGCCTCTGTCTCTCTCTCTTTCAGTTTCTATTTGTCTCTGTCTTTCTCCCTGTTTCCGTTTATGTTTCTATTTCTGTTTCTGTCTGTCTGTCTGTCTGTCTGTCTGTTTCTCTCTCTCTCACCTCTTTCACTCACTTATTCATCCACCTCATACCAATAGTTTCTGAATTGACTGCAAGATAACCACACACACAGACTGAGTAAACAAACAAATAAACAAGGAGATCAACACACAAATAACCGACAGGGGATCCACCGTGTCACCCGCGCGAAGCCCTATTGTTATTCAGAAACGTTATGAACAAAGATGAAGACGAGGAAAAAAAAAAGTGGGCGGAAGGAGGATGCTGGTGATGATGCCTTATCTTCTCACGCGCGAGATGAGGACAGGTAACGGGGAGAGTGAGATACCTGTAGCGACTTCTTACGAATTAAGGTGATACCTGTAACGGCCTGTGACGGAAAGTGGAGAGGGCATACACTGTAACGGAGAATGGGAGAGGGAGACGAAGGAGAGAGAGGAGGAGGAAAGAGAGAAGGGAAGGGTGAGAGAGAGAAAGAGAGAAGGGGAGGGAGGGAGGGAGAGAGGGGGAGAGAGAGAGAGAGAGAGAGAGAGAGAGAGAGAGAGAGAGAGAGAGAGAGAGAGAGAGAGAGAGAGAGAGAGAGAGAGAGAGAGAGAGAGAGAGAGAGAGAGAGTAAAACACAGACAGACACTGTCTCTCTCTATCTGTGCATGACACCACTCAATCCCTATCTAAGACAATAAGAGTGCATGGCCGTCGAATTAAAACGTAAACAAACTTTTATCTCGTATCTAAGGTCAGAAAGGGTCATGCAGAGACGAGCTTTACCTCATGGCATTCTCATGGCGTGAATCAACAGCATCATGACGTCTTCATGTGGCCAATATTTAAGCCATTCAAAACAAATTAAACAATAATAATAATGGCACCATAAGCACATAAAAATTAAAAATCAATCAACAAAAAAATAAACAATAAACCTAATACAATATATATAAATAAACAGATAGATAAATATATAAACAGATAGAGAGACAAACAAATTAATAAAATAGAACCGAACACAGAATCTCTCACACCAGTTTGAGAACTTCTTGTCTTGAAAAAAAAATCTTAAACCGGATAAATTTTAACCATAAATTCTGATAATTGACGAATAATAACAAGAAATCGATTTGCTTAATCAGATAGCGAAAAAAATACACTGGTAAATAAAATAAATAAATAAATAAACAAAAACAGAATAGGAAATATATGAATTATATATGACATATAAATATCATTTGTTTTTATTTTTCATTCAAAGAAGGAATACCGAATGAATGCACCTAACGATATCAATAAGACATAAAACATAGACCTGAAATAAGTAAACACACAAACTGGGAATAAATAAAAACCGAAAGAGAGGAAAACAAAGCCTTTGGAGACGACATTGCAAACGAACAACTGCACAACTCAGACATCAGTAAACAAACCCAGCGAAGTGTCACTAAGTATGCCAATCAGGTGTATATTAGCCGCGTAACAGGCACGCCCTCCGTTACCCTGTCTTCCCTCCCACGCGCCCGCACTCACTGACACACAGATACACTTAGAGGCATCTATGCATACGGAAGAGATGGATAAACTGATAGACACAGATACAGACGATTATACAGGCCTACACATACAAGTATTTACTCATTCGCTCACTCATTAACTCACACACTCACACAGCGAGGTTAAACACCGTCTCCCAGCACCTCCGCCTTCTGAATCTCTCTCTTAAACATCTCAAACATTTACACATACATAGACCTACCTACATGCCTTGCACACTACACTCCCCGACTAAGAATAGACCTCCCTGCACTATCAAAGGGAGAATATCTGATTAGAAAGCATTCGAGTGAACAGGCGGAGAGGGTGGGGGGGAGGAGAGGGGGGAGGGGAGGCACGAGCGTTGTTAACACAGTTGCCGATGAGTGAATAGTTGATCTCGATATGGACGAGCAATCGGGACATATCCTCTGCTTCGTTTGTGAGGATCACCCGGCGAACACGGAGGGTGGTGGTGGGGGGGGGTGTACATACAAACGCAAATATATACATACTAGCATAATGCAGGTGGGTAGACATTCACACTGGTATCGACAGAAATACATACATACATACATACATACATACAAAAACAAAAGCAAACAAACAAACGAAAACACATACACGTAAACACACACACAAACACAAACACAAACACACACACACACACACACACACACACACACACACACACACACACACAGGAGTTCAAGTTCACGGTAACAATAGCAGACCCGGTAACAGAAGGATGTGGGAAGGACGACTCCATTCCCCGTAAGGTCGTCAACCCTATGATTCACAAAGGGGACTCTCGCTCTTACTGCTCCTTCTGCCGAGTTCGATCTCTATCATCGCTGTCGGAAAAAAATACGTAAACAAATAAATATGCAGATAAAGATCACAAACACACCCTAGAGTGAAACAAAAAAAAAAAAAAAAAAAAAAAAGTAAAAAAAAAATAAATAAATAAAGGCCTGGACATAAAAATAAGATTCATCGTGATTCTATTTATGTGAAAATAAAACCCTCAGACGTGGCATTTCTTTAAGAAAACGCAAAAGACTTACGACCAAATAACGATGCCAGACATGGGGTTCGCGGACTCTTAAAAGGGTATTATTATGAGGTCGTTAACATGCACAGACAGACACTCCCGCGATGCCTTAGATACGCGAGAGCCTCTTCTTCTTCTTCTTCCTCTTCTCTCTCTCCCTCCTCCTGTTTTTCCTCTTCCTCCTCCTCCTCCTCTTCCCTCTCGCCTTCATCCCCATCTTCGCCTCCTCTCTTCTTATCATAAATTATTTTCTTCTTCTTCTTCTTCTTCTTCTTCTTCTTCTTCTTCTTCTTCTTCTTCTTCTTCTTCTTCTTCTTCTTCTTCTTCTCCTTCTCCTTCTCCTCCGCTTCCTACTTCGACTTCTCCCAAACTTCTCCCTACTTCTATCCCCCCTCCCCCCTCCCCCCTTAAATTCCCGAGGAAGTTCCACATTTCACTTCCAGGAAATAATGAGTCATTTCCAGCGTGTTTACCGGGCGCGCGTTCCCCTCTCTGGAGCTCGAGCTTGGTCACGTGAAACAAACCTTAGCTCCTTCCGTGTACTCTCTCGCTCGCTCACTTTATGTTTCTCTTTCTTTTACTCTCTCTCTCTTTCTCCTTCTCCTACTCTTTCTCCTCTTTCTCTTTCACCTTCTCCTCCCTCTCCCTCTTTCTCTCTCTCCCTCTCCCTCTTTCTTTCTCTCTCTCCCTCTTTCTCTCTCTCCCTCTTCCTCTTTCTCCCTCTCCCCCTCCCCCCTCTTCCTCTCCCTCTCCCTTGATACTCTTCTGCTTCGCTGGAGGTGGGTTTCTGTACTCTGACTTTCCCATTTCCTGTTTCCATTTCCTTTCGTTTATTTCCCTACTTCATTTCCTCTATTTTCTCTTCTTTCGCACCCTGTATTTTTCAACAACT